AAATGTGGTAATGCATGTTGATGATGTTTTAGTGCAAACTATAATGAAAGAGTACAAATTAGAAACCAAAAATGCAAAGAGTAATAACACAATACCATTATAACTCTTAGTTCGTCTATATATCATCTCCCAAACTCGCTTTGTCTTACAACATTATTATGATCGTAGAAATGTTTTCTTTATTACATAAATTTTATTGTAATTCACAGACGCAATGATCAGATCCGGTAATTTTATTAGGTAAAAGTGTTTTATATCCAAGAACAGTGATTATTAGGGTTAATTAATGACTATGCTTCGAGATCTAGAAATAAAGAGATAGGAGGGAAGCAAAACCATAATTTGACATAAAGAGGAAGAATTAACGAAGCTTTACCTACAAGTATGAGAGAGAGAGAGAGAACGAAGAAGAAGAAGAAAATGGCGATGAAACTTTTATTTTATGTGTAGGTTTTTATTTTCCCCGAACCATAATAAGTTATAATTAAAACTTAAAGAACTTTATAAACAAATCGGATGATAGAACCGGTGGTAATAGATCGTCTAGTGGTAAATTGTGGTGATTACTATTTATCACAACTACGTGAAAAAACTAATAAAAAGTTGGGACTTGATAAATGATTTAAAAAAATCATATTTTAACACGTGTAAAACAAAATTTTATTTATTTAGAAAAAAAAAATTATACGTATATATCTTATATAAAAAAATTCTAAAAATCTAAAGAATATAATTATAACGAAATTAGATGTATCTTATTAAATAAAAATAGAAATGTAAGAAAAAAATTATAAGGCAACTATACGTATATATCTTATATCAATTTTTTTTAGAAAAGTAAAGAAGATAATTATAAAGAAGAGAAATTGTTAAAAATGCCCCTTTTTCAATATCCCTTTTCAAAAATGCCCCCTTTGAGAGTCCATTTTTAAGTTTGCCCTCTTTTAATTTTTAATGACCATTTTACCCTTATTTGAAACAAAATTAGGTCCACAAAATACAAAATATTTTTTGGCGGGAAAATTGATCCCGCAATTTTCTCGCCAAAACACTTGTAAAAACTTTTAAAATACCTTGTAAAATTTTCCCGTAAAAATTTTTCCCGCCAAAAATTTTTTTTTGAGGGAAATGTGATTCCGCAATTATTTTGGCGGGAAAAATTTACAAGGTATTTTAAAGGTTTTACAGAGTATTTACAAGTGTTTTGTAAGGTTTTACAATGTATTTTAAAAGGTTTTACAAGGTACTTATAAGGTTTTATAAGGTATTTATAACTTGTAAAACCTTATAAAAAACTTGTAAACCCTTTTAACTTGTAAAACCTTATAAAATAGCTTGTAAAATCTTATAATACCTTATAAATACGTTGTAAAACCTTTTAAAATACATTGTAAAACCTTATAAATACCCTGTAAAAAACCTTTAAAATACCTTGTAAATTTTTCCCGCCAAAAATTTAACGCCAAAAAAATTGCGGAATCACTTTTCCCGCAAAAAAAATTTTTTTGGCGGAAAAATTTTTTGGCGGGAAAAAATTTTACGGGAAATTTTACAAGGTATTTTAAAGGTTTTACAAGTTTTTACAAGTGTTTTGGCGGGAAAAATTGCGGGATCACTTTTCCCGCCAAAAAATATTTTGTATTTTGTGGACCTAATTTTGTTATATTACCTTATATATTTGTGATATCTTTTATTAAAAGAAGGGTAATTTAGTCATTTTGTACATAAAAAGGGGTATTTTTAAAAATGGACAGACAAAGGGAGCATTTTTGAAAAGGGGTATTGAAAAAGGGGCATTTTTGTGAGTCTCCCTATAAAGAAACTATATGTATCTTATTAAATAAAAATAGAAATTAAAAATTCGTAAACTAATCCTAATTTAAAGCTACTAAAAATTGATTTTCAAGGGTTTAAGATTTCAATTTTTAGGTTTGGGTTAATTATTTTAGATTAAAGATATATTTTAGGAGGAAGAGTTTAGTAATTAGGGTTTAGTTTCGAATGTTGAAAGATTAATTTTAATTTTGTGGTATTTTTGGAAAAACCAGAAATTAAAGGGAGTTTGGAATATTAAACTAATAATGATAGTTTTGAAAACCAAAACTTAAGTGTGTTATTTTTTTGGATTCTCTTATATTTTTTTCATTCAAAATATTATATTTAAGTTAAACAATTTCAATTGTTAAAGAAACTGTTTAAAAGTGAAAGTAAAGAAACACGAGAAAAAACATATACCCTTATATGTTCGTAGAGATATTTTTAAGTGGTAGTAAATAGCAGTTTCAACAATATAATATGAATGAGTGTAAAAAAAAAACATTTGAGTGGTAAACTATTAAATTGTAAATAGATTTAAATAAGATGACGGTTTGACCGATGGTTTATATGTAAATATTTTCTAAAGACGTTTTGGAATCATATTCTAGGCGAAACTTCAAACCGCACTTTTGAGATTTGACATAATAATAATGATGAATATCTTGGAAATTTTTTTGGTGAATGGTAATTGAAATTTACTTTACTATTGTAATAAATGTACCAATAAATATAAAATATAGAAATGCAAATAAGTGTATTAACGCAAAAGATGAATATATAAACAAATCTTCTATCTAATTAAAATTTTATCTTCTTATTTCTTAAAATAGTTTCCACTCATAATAAAAAGTTAAATATGTCTTTTTGTTAAATTTAATTTAATGTAAAAAAATTAAAATCCGCACATCGGCCGGGTCCTAATCTAGTGTATAATAAAATGAGTTACAGATAGCAAATTAGATGGAAAAATATATAGCCTATTGGATTTCTTTTTTATTTTATTTTTTTTATTTCTAATTACTTTACATGAATTCTTTACGGGCTATTTTGTTTTTTTTCCTATTTTTAGAAAACCAAAATCATATAAATATATATACACATATATATAATAAATGACTAAAAACAAGCATTCCAATAAAAGAAAAGAAAAGGAAACTAAAAATAAAAATAAACAAAAAGCAAACTAAGAATATAATTATTGTTATTTTTTCAGTTTATTGATTTTGTTGACATTGTCAACACCTAATGCGGATCCGTGTTTCCAAAAAGGCCCAAGCAAAAAGATTGCACCATATTCTTGTAATAAACTTAATGGTGTCCTAATATGTTAGATTTGCTTGCCAAAAGAAAGTATACATTACTGGAGATTGTATTTGTCATAATTCATGTTGGGCTTTAAACCGTGCCGGCTAAATGCATGTGGCATATGTCCTATCCGAGTCGGGTTAAAAAACATTGGTCTTATAACATGACCTCGATAAAGTTAAAATTATACAAAATAATGATCTTATGTTTATTTTATACAGCCATCTTATTCCACTTATGTATTTATTTTAAACATCATTAATTTTGTAGTATTACGAATGAAATCATATATTTGAATCAAAATGAACATTCACAAAAAATAAAACAAACTATTAATTGATGATATGTGATGCTTAGTGTGATTCTTTGGATAAAATACCAAATATTAAATACTGTATAGATTTTAATGATTTTATTAGGGGGAAAATATCGAAAAATGTGCGAACTTTCAAATTTAGGACGAAAAAAACATGAACTTTGAAAATGTCATTTGAATCATAAAGTTTAGTTTGACTTTTTAATGATTTTATTACTGTTAGAAGTTTCCAGGAATGCTAATCTAATAATACAAATTTATTTGGGAGAAGTGTGAGAATACAATGCTTATTTATATTTTATTTTGGAAAAACCTCCAAACCAAACCAAACCGGAAGAATGAACCGGTGGTAATGGATGGTGGTCTAGTGGTAAAGAAACCCTAGGCTTTTTTTAGTGTCTCTTGTCTTCTTCTTCTTCTTCATCTAGTTATATCAAATGGGCTGTACATATTCAAATGGGCATGTCCAAATGGATTTTTTCTAGACATCGACGGTGAAAACCTAAATAATTTGGATCATGTCCAAATAAGACCAAACCTAAATATGATTGTGATCAACTGAACTGTCTGCGGGATCCAAATAACACATAAACACAATCACACAAGAAAACACAAAATCATGTTTTCCGCAAAAACAGAAAATTACGTTTTCCAGCCAAAACCGCGAAATCATATTTTTCCGCTAAAACAACAAAATATAAACTGCCAAAAATAAAAAAAATTATGTTCTTTTTCCAAATCGCAAAATCATATTTTTCCGCCAAAAATGTAAAAATATTTTTTTTTTCCCGTAAAAATTCGTAAAACTGTGTTTTTCCGTCAAAACATAGGAAATCATATTTTTAGCGGAAAACAGAAAATTATATTATTAGCGGGAAAACATAGAATCATGTTTTAGCGTGAAAATATCACCCAGAGAAGAAAAAAATGCGAACTAAGAAGAATCATTGAGAAAATCAGATCCTATATTTTTGCATTTGCAAGAAACTCTAGTTTTTAAAACTTATGAGACGGCCCATGTTCAGATGAGTTTGCTCGATTTGTTTGCGGGTTAAATTGGTTTTTATTCCATATAGACCATTGTGGTTCTAGGTGTAACTATAACCGGACCATTACAATTTGGATTTATCTATCCCATGGTCCTATTTGACATTCCTAGCCTATCTAGCGCGTGAGCACACGTATTTTTATATAGCGCGTGAGCACACGTGTTTTCACATACTCTCTTTAATTGGTAAATATCTATGCCATATATGTGTTGTTTGACTTAATTATTTGCATTATATTCTCAATTTTCCCTAGATTATTTTCCTAATTATGTGATTTTCTCATTTAATCATTTTCTCAAAATTTTCACATACAGACAAGAATTAATATTTAGTTTTTGACTAAGCTTAACCTAACGTTTATTGTGTAGATAAATCTTCAGATTTTATTGAAACACAACCTTTCACACGTTTTGCTCATAATCTCACTTTCTTAAACCCAAAACATACTCTTCTTAGATTTTCACTCTCCAAAAACCTATATAAGAAGACACTGCACAACACAAAAGATCATAGCAACAAGAAGATCTTATACTCAACAACTTCTTGAGAGAAATGGATAACTTGAATGTTTTTGCAAATGAAGACAATCAAGTGAATGTTGTGAAGCCCCCACCACGAGTGTGCCCAAGGTGTTATTCCGATCAAACAAAATTCGGCTACTTCAACAACTACAAAACGTCTCAACCACGCTACAAATGCAAGGACTGTCGTAGATACTGGACTCATGGTGGAGCTTTAAGGAACATACCAATCGGTGGAAGTTGCCGTAAATCCAAGCTTCCAAAGATAGATCAATCTTCAGTTTCTCAAATGACTTCTGTTGCGATTCAACCAGGTAATCATCAACCTCTCAACGAAAATCAAGAAAACATTTCAGTTAGTGCTTCTTCTTCTTCTGCTGCTGCTATTGGGAACCATTTCGGTTATTTTAGTGAACTGCATGGAGTAACAAATTTGTCTCCAACTCGAAGTTTTCTAACAATGGATCACTTAGATTTTGGTGACGAATCATTTCAACAAGATTTATATGATGTTGGTTCTAATGATTTGATTGGTAAACCTTGGATAAGTGAATCAATTGGTGGATATGTTGATAATCACAACGATCAATGCACTTTGCAATATGAATATGAACCATACAGCAAAAGCGAGTAGACGCGGAGGATCTTCGGACACTGAGATGAACAAGATCAGAAACATGTTTGTTTAGGTCTTCTTAACTTTTAACCGTATTACCCGTTATCTATTTCTTAAGTTAAAGTTTATGTCGTTGTTTGTTTCTGCTTCCTTTTTACATTTTAGTTTTGTTTATGGTTTCTGGTTGCGCTTTTTTTTAGTTATTAAAGTTTGCAGCTTTGTTCAATTCCCTAAAAAATCAAACACAAGTTGTTTGATCTTTTTCTTTATAATATATAATTATCTAAGTGTCACTAGTTCGTTGTACTGCAAATTTCCTCTTTATCATTTTCTAATATATTTTTCCTCACTAATGTATCTTGACTTGAGCCAAACAACACACTAATATTTTAGAATCTTAATTTATATAACGTGCAAATATAAAGAGCAAAGAAAAATTTATACGTCGAAAAAGTATTTAAAACATACACTCTCCCTTCTCTCTAACCTAGATCTAGATATGTGCTCAATGTCGCCTCTTCGGCTTGCCCTTTCAGCACTGGGGAAGGATTCTCTTTCATTAGCTCCTCCTCCTTAGATGTCATCTTGTCTATCGTGCTCTATCTTCAGAAGGTTGTCGTGGTCCTTGTTCCGATATGGCCTCTGGGTTGTGGTTGGAGTCTTCCGGCGCGTGGATCTGAGGAGATGTTTGGTGGTGGCCGTAGGAGGTTCATCGAGGACAGATCTGTTCGTTTTTCCCATGGTCTAGTTTGTTTTCCTCGTATGTTGGTTTCTTCGCTTGGGGTATGGCTTTAGAGAGGGTTGAGAATCCAGGTTCTTCTCTTAGTGGTTGAATTCTAGAGGTCGCATTTCTGTTAGATCTGGAGACGGATCGGTTGGTCTTCCTCCTCCAGTCGGTTCGCTTGTTTTCCTTCCAAAGTTAGGGTTTTTGTTGGCATGTGTTGGTTTGGGATTGATTTTAATTCAGGTCTGGTAGTGCACAAGGAGACATAAGTGAGCAAGATTTTTTCTCCTATGGCGGAGGTGTGGTTTCTCTCCCTGTCTAGGCAGTTATGGATTCGATTGGGAGGGCGTGATGGTCGGTTGGTCGAGCAAGATTTGGTTTGACGACGCAAGAGGGTTCATTTTGGTTTATTCGCGCTGCTCAACCATCCAATTGGCCGTTGCGGCTACAGCGGAAGTCGATGGGAGAGAGAGGGTGTCGTTGTTTTGTCTTAATTGTTACTGATGTGTGATTTTTCACTTCAATCTTTTACCTCAAAAGACCACACGATAACTACAAGTGCACAATGAATCGTACGTAGTAATTAAGGATCGAATCCCACAAAGAGAGAAGTTGTATTACCAATCCGTCAGAAAAGAGTAAGGCTAGGACGAATCAATAAAAGGGGTTTGGGTGTGTCACAACTATACTAGGTTATTAACCCCTGCTACGCGGGGGTTTGTTGTTATGATTGTTTTAATATATTTTTGGGCTTTATAATCATTTAAATAGCTATATATTGACATTAATAATGCAAAAGTAATATAATTTCTTTTCATTTTTAATATAATTGTTCTTTTATTTATATTCTTTAGTATTATTAATGTTATAAAAAAAATTTTAATAAATAAAACTTTATAAGATCAAATTTGGTATAAAACATATTACAAATATATGATGTGTTATTTTTCTTACTTGTTTTATATTATTAAAGATTTTGCTATTAGAAAAGTAATTTTAAAATATTTTATATTAGAAACTAAACTACCAAAATATGTACACGTTTAGGATAAATGTATTTTTTTTTTTTCGCCATTTAGGATAAATGTATTTGTCTTATCTATTAGTAAAAAAGTTTTGCTATTAATCAAGCAATTATAGAGTAATATATTTTGACTAAAAATCGGGGTTGACACCTCCCCATTTATACCTTTGACCGCAATAGCTGATTTGATTTTTGTATTAAATTAGTGAGAGTTTTCGGCTTTGGAAAAACAACCACGTCCCATATGCGACATCTACTGCAAAAATCAAGTCGTGACAGGTGAATTCTAATCAAAGATTAAAAATTTTGAGAAAGACGACATAGATCTTACCGAGAAAATTTTAGTCGGATGAGAAAATGGTGTCCATTTAGAACTCGAGAAAATAAAAGACAAATATAAAAAGAAATGTGGCTGCTAATGAGAGGCACAATTTTTATCGTTCTCTCAACTCGAATCCACGGATTTCAGACTGATACCGCCAATGGATTGTCTTCCAGACGAGCTTCTTTTCCAAATCTTATCCTTCTTTCCCACGCAACAAGCTACTTCAACCTCTCTTCTCTCCAAGAGGTGGAGGACTCTGTTTACTTTCAGTCTTAATCTTGATTTTGATGATTCCATCTTTTGTCAACCGAAAAAGAAGAAACGATATAAAATTTCAAAAGATGTCCAAGAGAGATTTATTGATTTTGTGAATAGAGCATTCGCTTTGAAAGGCGGTAACAACATAAACAAGTTCTCACTTTAACTTCGTAGAATAAATTTACCATTAACATATGAAATAGAAAATGTAAAACTTTTATTAATTATTTAGTAGATACATGACAAATGGTAAAGTAATAATGTGTTACTTATATCGAAAGAGTTAACCACCTTTGATATATATGATTTTACTAAAAAAATATATGGTCTTTAATTATAATTTTACATAATCAAAAGAAATTGCCAATACAACCCAAAACCGTTTTACATTTAGCTAATTCATACCCGGACTAAAAACTTCTGGTCAAAAGTTGCATTAACCACGGCAGACAAAGTGTCAATCTTAACGGCCCAACTCGGCCCAAATAGGCCCAATACCTCCTCTAAAATTCACTTTGCTAGGGTTTTTGATTTTGCGTTCTTGAAAAATCTGGGTAAAACAATTTGCTAGAGATTCGTCATCACTCTCCGAAGACGCAGCCGTTCTCAGAGTGATTTAGCTTGATCAAAAGAAACATAACGATCCCAAGGTTCAGTTTTCTCTTCTTCTTTGGATTCAATAGTTTCGCTTTAAGTTTGGATTCATACATGTTTAGATCGATACTAAGAAGAAGAAGTTTAAGTAGAGATATGATTTTTTAGCTGTGTATGGATCAGATTTATAGAGCAAAGCCTTCATTTTTCAGTGATTGGAATACCTCTGATAGCTTAAACTATGCAGCATTACATCTTTTGACTTCCATGGCTTATGAATTGTTATTTAATTGATTAAGCAGGTTCTACACAATATGGAAATTGCTGAGTATGAAAGGGAGAGTGGCGGGGAGAGCGGTTACGACCCAAATATGGTGCCGGATTCGGTGAAATCGTTCGTGGTACACATGTACAGACACATAAGGGAGAAGAACGTGTACGAGATCCACCAGATGTGTGAGACATCGTTCCAGAGCATATCGGAACGTCTGTTCAAGGAGACGCCATGGCCAAGTGTGGAAGCCATAGCTCCATACGTAGACAACGACCATGTGTTCTGTCTTCTGTACCGTGAGATGTGGTTTCGACATTTGTATGCGAGGTTATCTCCTACGTTGAAGCAGAGGATTGATTCTTATGACAACTATTGCAGCCTCTTTCAGGTCTGATGTGTGTTGATTTGGATTTTGGATTCTTTGAATTCTTTGGATTTGAATTCTTTGAGTTTGAATTGGTAAGTGGCTTCTTCTTTATCTTCTTTTAGGTGGTGTTGCATGGGGTAGTGAATATGCAGTTACCGAACCAGTGGTTGTGGGATATGGTGGATGAGTTTGTCTACCAGTTCCAAAGTTTCTGTCAGTTCAGAGCAAAGCTCAAGAACAAAACAGAGGAGGAGATTGCATTGCTCAGACAGCATGATAAGGTCCCTATGATCCTACGATTCGATTCATCAACCAAATGTGTTACTTACTTACTTACCTCTATTGTTGTGTTACTTACCTCCTCAGGCATGGAATGTCTATGGCGTGCTCAATTTCTTGCAAGCACTTGTGGAAAAGTCTTGTATCATCCAAATTCTTGAGCAGGACAAGCATGGCCTTGAACAGTTCACTGCCACTGATGGCTACGATTACAGCGGTGGAAGTAACGTCTTGAAGGTCCTCGGTTACTTCAGCATGGTTGGTCTCTTGCGTGTTCACTGCCTCCTCGGTGACTACCACACTGCTCTCAAATGGTTGCAGCCCATTGACATCACTCAGCAAGGTGTTTACACCAGTGTCATTGGATGCCATATCGCTACCATCTATCACTATGGATTTGCCAACCTTATGTTGCGACGCTATCTAGATTCTGTTCGTGAATTCAACAAGATTCTCCTCTACATTTTCAAGACAAAGCAGTACCATCAAAAGTCACCTCAGTACGAGCAATTACTCAAGAAGAATGAGCAGATGTATGCATTACTTGCTCTTTGCCTCTCCCTCTGCCCTCAACCTTTACTCGTTGACGACTCTGTCAGCTCTCAGTTACGAGACAAGTATGGTGAAAAGATGATGAGGATGCTGAGGTATGACGATGAGGCCTTTGGTATTTACGATGAGCTCTTCTCTTATGCATGCCCCAAGTTTATCACCCCTTCCCCACCATGTTTAGAGGAACCTCTTGTCAATTACAATCAGGTTACTACTCCAGTTTCTTTATAAAACAAAATTTACGAGGACTCTTTGTGTGTTTAACTTTCCCAGCTTGGATTATCTCAGGATGCATACAGGCTTCAGTTGAAGATGTTCCTTTATGAGGTAAAGCAGCAGCAACTCTTGTCGGGAGTGCGGACATTCCTGAAAGTCTACTCCTCCATTTCTCTTGCTAAGCTCGCAAACTACATGGAAGTTGATGAGCCCACTCTAAGGTGAGGGAGCAACCATGGTCAGATAGATGGCTTTTACCAAAAGTCTCTCCGCAATCTACTTTTTTTATATATCTTTGACATGTACGGGGTTTTAATTTGCAGGACCATATTGTTAACATACAAGCACAAGACCCATGCAGTTGATTCCGATGGTAGGATCATCTCCAATGCAGACATTGATTTCTACATCAACAATGTATGTTCTTTCCATATCTTTCTGATATCGATACTCTGGTTCTTTCAAAAGTAACTTTAAATCTGGTGAGACTGCAGGACATGATCTACGTTGTGGAATCAAAACCCGCAAAACGTTATGGTGATTTCTTCTTGCGACAGATTGCCAAGGTATGTAAACTGAAACTAAGACTTGTGCACATGCATGATAAGAGTCCTGACTGTTATTTTGATTTTTTCCATTGCGCAGCTGGAAGGTGTGATAAACGACATGGATCGTGTCAAACTGGAATGAGGACTCTTTTCTGTGTTACACCTATCATCAATGCCCAATCTGATATGCTCTCTCTTATAAAACCTAAATTTACTTGGAGCCAAACACTTTTGAGAAGCTGTCTTCATGTGGTCAAATGGTGTAGCTCGACTCTTTTCTTGTGTAACTGTAATCATCTTTGTTATGAATTATTGCCAGTTTCTTTTTTGATTGAGTATGACATTTCAGATTATAGCCGATCTCGAGCTCCTTTGGAATTATTTGTCCAGATTTGATATGCCAACTATGAGTTTAATAAGTAAGTAACACCACTATATCTGGTTAATGTAAAAAGATAAATTTTTAAAACATTGGAAGTGTTCAAGGTTCTGAAAATTTAAGTCGCCACTACTTTCTACTTTGACAACAGAATGGTATTAAATTCAAAGTAGCATCAATTGCTTCTTGACTTTTATGTATCCTAGTAACAACAGGTTTGTTCTTCGTTCTTGGTGATTTACAGATTCCAGAAGAGTAAATTCTTTTTCTTCTTCATCGAAAGATATGCGTTTACATCGTTCCTTTGCTGGATTGGTCGTATATACCAAAGGCCTCATCGTCATACAAATACGTTGTTTTCTTTTGAAACATTGCGGCCACAAAGCAACCGTACGCTTGTGTCTCCGGGGGATGTCTTCGAGCTTGGTTTTTTCAGTCGTGGTAATCGTTGGTACATCGGCATTTGGTACAAGAACAGTGTTTAAGGATTTGCAAAAGAAAATTTGTATTTACTAGAAAACCAAATAGAGTTAGACAAGTCTCTTAGAAAGAAAAATTGGTATAAAAATAAAGATATATGGTATATTATTATTTAAAACTTTGAAACAACATACATAGATATCAAATGAACTTATGCTTAATTACAATATTTTGCTGTATATTAATCTAACAGCAAATTATTAACTCATAGCTTTAGTTTATAAAATTCTAAACAAACAAAAACCCTTAATTATGCATGTTTCATCCAGTTACGTACATGCCCCGACGGTTTTTTCGCGATCTCTTCTAAACCAAATTCCATCAGGTTTAGCAGTCCATGAGCGATACTGATCACATCGTTCAGTACTAGCTGCTCTGTATACTTGAAGATTAAAATAAAACTCCATTTTAGGCCCGTGCCTCAACATACAAGTCCACACTGTCCTTTCTCTTCTGTTGGAAACATCCGAAAACACAATTTTGAAAGTTTGATTGACTTTTAAATATTGGAGACCTTTATTTTGCTCGTTAATACTACCACGACAATGATGACTGAGAAGTTTACCGGGAGCGAGTTGGTTATGAATTTCTACAATATTTGGTTTCTTGCACGCTTCATTCAACGAAAAATGTATGGCAATAACTAACGAAAAAATTATGAGGTGATTCATTTTTCTATTTTTCTTAGATCTAAGATAACTGTTTTGACTTTTGAGTAATGAGGCCATGAGTGTGCGATATTTATAATTATTTTGTGTAGAAAACATTATACCTTTAATTATCAAATAATCTATTTGTGGCCTTAGCTAAATTTAAACACAAACATGAACCAATAAAACTTTTGGCCAAAAGAGAGTTTACTCTCGAAAAGTATGGTTGACCAATAAAATTAAACCAAATAAATTAACTTTTTCTAAATTATAGCTAGTACCTAAAATTTAAAAATTAAACCAAATGTTATAAGTTCTAACAAAGAAATATGAATGGTGAAATCAAAAGGTTATAGACGAATTTACTTGCATATTAGTTTACTATAAATTTAATAATTAGTTTGGAATTTTACCAATTCATTTTTTGGTTTATTGGAAAATTATTTATTCTAAAAGTGGTTGTGTTTCAATCAATAAATTTACTTTCAAGTAGTTCAAATATTCTCAATTTTTTTGAATAATATATGTCCAAGATTTTTGGTAGAACATTTCATTTAAAAGTTTAATTGGTTCACATTTGTGTTTAAAACTTTAACTAAGGCCATAAATACACATATGTAATAGTTTTATCAATATGTTGTGTGTCCAAAAAACAAAACAAAAAACCAAAAACCAAAAACAAAAAGTGACATGTAATAATCATTATCATAATGAAAAACATCAAGAGGGTCCATAGATCAACTGTACTTCACAAAAAAATAGTGATTACTTATATCAAAAATCTAGTTGATCAAGCTAGGTTAGAAAATAAAGACAACAATAGACAAAAAAATCTGGTATTTCCCAAATCTAACAATCTTATCATGACATATATGAAATCTCATTGAAAACTCCAAACCCTAACTAGAGATCTACTGAGACATGATAAAGAAACAACAAATCAAAAATATAAAAAGAATTGCATTACTAAATAAAGGAAAAATCTCAGAATAAACCTCTTGAGTTGCAACATTTTCCAACAAAAATCCCGTATATCCTCCTATAACATAGACCCAATCAGTCCATTAACATGTAACGACTAAGTAGTCCATTAACATGTAACGACTAAGTAGTCCATTAACATGTAACGACTAAGTAGTCAATTAACACATTACTGGTTTAAAGGCCTCTTGACGGTTAATCATCTAACCCACGTCTAACCCTTGGGATGGAGTTTCACAAACACTCCCCCGAACACCGATTTGTTAGGCACCGTTTTATTTTATCTCATCATTTGTTTTTTAGATGTTAATCATAAGCGTAAACAAGATCTTTAAATGGGTCTTGAGGCCAACAAATAGAAACGAGGAAACGTTTGTACAATTGTTTGACAAAAAAAAAAATCACTACTAAAAAAATTATTTACTCGAAAATGGATCTAGATCATATTATTTCTTTGATGTTACTGGATTGACATGACTTTAAAAAATATATACATTACCACAACTAATACTCCAAGTAATAGTACTGCCAAAATTTTAATGAAGTTTGAATTGGGTGAATCATCAAAGAAGTTTGATATTGGTGAATCATCTAAACGTCATATATAGACCTGGCTTGCCTAAGACGTGGATGAAAAGCAAAAACAAAAAGTTCAAGAGTATGGGAGAATTCAGATACCTCCAAAGAAGCGTTGATATCACTCTACAAAAACTGTCATCAATTTTTTGGATCCTACAATATCATATCTCCAAGGAATGACGAAAGCTTTTTCAGTTTTAGTTTATGATAACAATTTTTGGACATCTACTTATCTACTTTACAGGAAAATGAAGAATGGGGTCAGATTAGGTTCTTCCTAATCCTTGCTTAACTTTTTGGCTAGATCAGAGTGTCTTTTCCTGATCTATGTGGTTTGTAGTAGAAACCTTTGAGGCTTTAACTAAATGTTCTAAATGATGGATTATCTTTCTTCGTTTGATAATCTTTTTGTTGTGATATTTTAGTAGTAACTCTAGTTTGTTTGTGGTTAATTACACTGTTGTAATCGTTTGAACTGTTCCCTTGTAATATAATAATCTGACTTTCAGTGAAAAAATAAAAATAAAATAAAAAACTCCAAAATCTTCTAAATTCTAACCCAAATAGCTGTTAATTAGTATTTTTTATGACGTTGACCTCTTTTCAACAAAACACGTTTTGTCTGTCTCTGTTCGGTCCTCTCTCTTTTTTCCAATAAATACTATAGTATTAAATACAAAGATGTCTCTGAACTTTGAAGTCGTGCATTCTCATCTCACACGTTCCAAGGTAAAGAAAGGATTGTTGACAAGAACTAAAGATCTCCAAGAAGATAATGGAAGATCCACTTTTATTGGAAGACGATCAGATAATCACCGGAAGTCTTAAGCCGACGCCGACATGGAGGATGAATTTCACGGCCGAGCTAAAGAACGTCAGTCGCATGGCGTTGCCTATGGCCACCGTGACCGTTGCTCAATATCTATTGCCTGTTATCTCAGTCATGGTCGCCGGCCACCGCAGCGAACTTCAGCTCTCCGGCGTCGCTCTTGCCACTTCTTTTGCAAACGTCTCTGGCTTCAGCCTCATGGTAATTAATTTATCTATCCTCTGTTTTAAATAGTTTCAAGATTCATTCGAATCTCAAATCTTGAATATTTTTTGCAGTTTGGTTTAGTTGGTGCACTTGAAACTCTATGTGGCCAAGCTTATGGAGCAAAACAATACGCGAAAATCGGAACTTACACTTACTCTGCAATAGTCTCAAACGTACCTATAGTTGTTCTCATATCGATTCTCTGGTTTTACATGGACAAACTCTTGATTTCAATCGGACAAGATCCTGACATCTCCAAGGTAGCTGGTTCCTACGCGGTTTGTCTTATACCGGCATTGTTAGCTCAAGCGGTGCAACAACCTTTGAATCGGTTTCTCCAGACTCAGGGCTTGGTTCTTCCTCTTCTCTACTGTGCCATCACCACACTTTTGTTCCATATATTCGTTTGTTTGGTTCTGGTTTACGCGTTTGGTCTTGGAAGCAATGGAGCCGCATTGGCTATTGGTTTGTCTTACTGGTTTAATGTCTTGATTCTTGCTTTATATGTGAGATTTTCAAGCTCTTGCGAGAAGACTCGCGGCTTTGTATCCGATGATTTCGTGTTGAGTGTCAAGCAGTTTTTTCAGTATGGGATACCATCAGCAGCAATGACTACGTAAAAATATATTCATCTTCTTCATCACTGGTGGATTGATCTCTTCCTTCCTCTCGTTTGATTTGATTTTTGTTTCTATATGCAGCATCGAATGGTCGTTGTTTGAGCTCCTTATATTATCCTCAGGACTCCTCCCAAACCCGAAACTCGAGACCTCTGTTCTTTCCATTTGGTAATCTATGTTTCTCTCTGGATCTATATCAGGAAGACTTGTCTTAAATATAGAGGAATGAGTATATGTTGGTTAAGTAAACTAGATACAGTTTGGCGAATTTATATTAACAAATTTTTTACTCTTCATTTCATTATATAATTTGATGCAATCTTTTTGGTGGTTGTTGTTGTGTTGATGATAGTCTTACAACATCATCTCTCCATTATGTCATTCCAATGGGTATCGGGGCGGCTGGAAGGTATGATTCGGATAAAACTGATTCAATGTTTGTTTGGGAATTGTCAGATTAGTCAAACTGTTTACCCTTGGCAGCGTACGGGTTTCAAACGAATTGGGAGCGGGGAATCCGGAGGTTGCTAGGCTGGCAGTGCTTACCGGTATTTTCCTTTGGTTCCTAGAGGCTACCATTTGTAGCACACTTCTCTTCATTTGCAGAAATATCTTCGGCTACGCCTTCAGCAACAGCAAAGAAGTTGTGGACTATGTCACAGAGCTATCTCCTTTGCTTTGTATCTCATTTATGGTTGATGGATTTTCTGCAGTGCTTGGTGGTAATAAAATGAAACCCATCAACTAACAAATCAAATAAAAGAGACTCAAAATGCGTTTTGTATGACATTTGTTTTAAAAAATAGGGGTTGCTAGGGGAAGTGGATGGCAACATATTGGAGCTTGTGCAAATGTTGTGGCTTACTATCTCCTAGGAGCTCCGGTTGGACTTCTCTTAGGATTTTGGTGTCACATGAACGGTAAAGGGCTATGGATCGGTGTGGTGGTTGGGTCTACGGCGCAAGGAATCATACTAGCTATAGTCACTGCTTGCATGAGTTGGAATGAGCAGGTTAATATCAATCTTAACTATTTGTCTGGACATTTGATGACTCTAAAGATTTCTGTTCTAAAGTTGTTTACATCTTGAAATTACAGGCTGCCAAGGCAAGAAAGAGAATAGTTGTACGAACTTCTTCATTTGGCAATGGACTTGCTTGAAAGGTTCTTTATTTCCATTTTTGAGACAAGTCACAGGAGATTTTGTTTTCTTCAATGTCGTTATAATCATTGTTAGAGAATTTTAAACTTAACTGGTATCTTGTATGATTGTATCCGTTCTACCTTTCTAAAGATTAAGGGTCTGATTTGAAATTTAAGAGAGAGAGAAAAGTGGTTCTTAGTTCAATTACTCTGTTTTTCTTTCAATCAATTGAAAAAGAGAACAAAACAATTTAGGGAAAATTAATTCCTCTTTGTACAATATATAATGTACAATATATGATGTATACAGAAAATTAATGTCCTTGATTATAAGGTACAAAATTAATTCCTCTGTGTACAAAATTAAATGAAAAAATCATCTAAAATACTCGAAAATCTTTTATGTTGTCAAAAAAAAAACTCAAAAATCTTCTTGATCACATAATAAAATGATTTCTCTATACTCCCTACATTTTTTTATTTGATGTTTGAGGAGAATGCACACAGATTAAGAAATCATTTAATTTTTGTTTATTTTTAAAATAAAATATAATTTATTATTTATATAAATCTGCAGAACATAAATCGTCAAAACAAATAAAAATTAATTAATTTTGTATTGAAAGTTAAAAAACATCATATAATTTAAAACAAAATTTTTCTTCTAAAACTTAAGAAAAAAACAGGAGGAGTATTTAATTAGAAAATTGTTAACTGTCATTTCCACAAATTATTCTAAACAAAAGCTACACATACATCAATTAAATATACAAATAAAAAAAGAGAGAGAAAGAATGAGAAGGAAGCCATGAAAAAAGAGAAGAGACAGTGCTACGAAGGAACCAATTAAGAACTGGAAGTCAACGGTCAGACTGCCGAAGCAACGATTTTTTTTATAAAAAAAAATTACCTCAAATTATATAATTATTATTAGTTTGTTAATAATAGTTCCAAACATTAGAGGAAAGAAGTTTGGACCACTTTACCTTGAGTTCCATTTCATTAGAAACAAAATCATGACATTTCTGGTATGTTAGCGGAGCTATGGCCCAGGATTTAACCCTCTGTAATTGGTTGACGAAAATTAAACTATGCTACATTACTTTTAAAATTGATACTCCACTTGATGATGTTTCATGCTTCGTGGAAGATAAGTGTTACATTATTAAATAAAGTTTAAGTCGTGATTACATAATATTTTGGACTTATATGAATACATAAGTATATAAGTAAGAATGTGATAACATATAGTCCTATTGATTATATTGTATAGTAAGATTGATAAATGTCTCCTCTCTGAAGTCGTGCGTTCTCATGTCTGTTCTCTATCACAAGTTCCAAGGAAGATAATGGAAGATCCACTTTTATTGGGTCATGATCAGTTAATCACTAGAAACCTAAAGTCAACGCCGACATGGAGGATGGATTTTACGGCGGAGCTGAAGAACGTCAGCCGCATGGCGGCGCCTATGGCCACCGTGACCGTTGCTCAATATCTATTGCCCGTTATCTCGGTCATGGTAGCCGGCCACCGCGGTGAACTCCAGCTGTCTGGTGTCGCTCTTGCCACTGCTTTCGCAAACGTCTCCGGCTTTGGCATCATGGTAACTAGACACTAGATTATCTTCTGTTTAAACCAAGTTCAAGATCCAAACGAAACTTAAAGTCTTGAAAACTTTGGCAGTATGGTTTAGTGGGTGCACTTGAAACTCTATGTGGCCAAGCTTATGGAGCAAAACAATACGATAAAATCGGAACTTACACTTACTCTGCAATAGTCTCAAACGTACCCATTTGTCTTCTTATATCTATCCTCTGGTTTTACATGGACAAACTCTTGATTTCAATCGGACAAGACCCTGACATCTCCAAGGTAGCTGGTTCCTATGCGGTTTGTCTAATACCAGCATTGTTAGCTCAAGCGGTACAACAACCTTTGACTCGGTTTCTCCAGACTCAGGGTTTGGTTCTCCCTCTTCTCTACTGTGCCATAACCACCCTTTTGTTTCATATACCCGTTTGTTTGACTCTGGTTTACGCGTTTGGTCTTGGAAGCAATGGAGCCGCCTTGGCTATTGGTTTGTCTTACTGGTTTAATGTCTTAATTCTTGCTTTATATGTGAGATTTTCAAGATCTTGCGAGAAGACTCGGGGTTTTGTATCCGATGATTTCGTGTTGAGTGTCAAGCAGTTTTTTCAGTATGGGATACCATCAGCAGCAATGACTACGTAAAAACATTTCATCTTCTTCATCACTGATGGATAATCTCTTACTTCCCCTCGCTTGATTTTGATTGTTGTTTCTATATGCAGCATAGAATGGTCGTTGTTTGAGCTCCTTATATTGTCCTCAGGACTCCTCCCAAACCCGAAACTCGAGACCTCTGTTCTTTCGATTTGGTAATCTATGTTTCTCTTCTAATCTGTCTCTTCCTTCTTACATGTCTTGTATCAGGAGGACTTATCTTAAATACATAGGTGTAATGAGTAAATGTTGGTTAAGTAAACTAGATACAGTTTGTCGATTTCATATTTTTACTCTTCATGTCATTATCTAATTTAGTGATGCAATCCTTTTGGTTGTTGTTGTGTTCATGATAGTCTTACAACATCATCTCTCCACTGTGTCATTCCAATGGGTATCGGGGCTGCTGGAAGGTATGATTCCGATAAAACCGACTCATTGTTTGTTTGGGAATTTTCAGATTAGTCACTCTGTTTACTTTGGCAGCACACGGATTTCAAACGAATTGGGAGCGGGGAATCCCGAGGTTGCTAGGCTGGCAGTGTTCGCCGGTATTTTCCTGTGGTTCCTAGAGGCTACCATTTGTAGCACACTTCTCTTCACTTGCAAAAATATCTTCGGGTATGCCTTCAGCAATAGTAAAGAAGTTGTGGACTATGTCACGGAGCTATCTTCTCTGCTTTGTCTCTCATTTATGGTTGATGGATTTTCTTCAGTTCTCGATGGTATTAAGATCAAACCCTTTAATTAGTAAATGATAAAAGAATCGATCTCGCGACTCAAAAATGTGTTTATTATGACTTTTATGAAAAAAAGGGGTTGCTAGGGGAAGTGGGTGGCAAAATATTGGAGCTTGGGCAAATGTGGTGGCTTACTATCTCCTAGGAGCTCCGGTTGGATTTTTCTTAGGATTTTGGTGTCACATGAACGGTAAAGGGCTATGGATTGGTGTGGTCGTTGGGTCTATGGCTCAAGGCATCATACTAGCTATAGTCACTGCTTGCATGAGTTGGGAGGAGCAGGTTAATAGCACTCTTAAATATATTTTTTGGACAATTGATGACTCTTTTTTTTCGTACTGAAGTTGTTTACATCTGGAAATTGCAGGCTGCCAAGGCAAGAAAAAGAATAGTTGGAAGAACATTGGAGTGAAAACACACAAGTTTAAACTTAACTGGTACTCTTTCTGTTTATATATAAGTGTACGTTTAAGGTTTTGACACGTGTATTAAGAAAATAAATAAAGTTTCTACCTTAATATACATGACATATATTTTAAACCTTAATATATTAATATTGATCAATATACATGAAATATTTTTTTAGTCAACATTAATATATTACTTAATTGGGTCGAATAAGCCAAGCTGAAGGAACGTTGTTTACATATAAAACATATTGTGGATGTACACGAACATTTTGTGCCAATTTGTCCGCTTTTATATTAGCTCGTAAAGAAATTAAAAATAAGAAGAAAGTAGAAAACACTCCTAATCGCTCGATATTCTCCAGATTTGTAGAGAAGCTTGGCCACTCGGTCGGGGAACACATCATTTTCACCTGATCTAAATAGTTTATTAGAAATACGATATCACGCTTGTTTCACCCACCATGCATTGCCCAAACGAATGCTTCAACTTCTGTATGTAGAGATGTTAGACTTCAGCTAAGGTTGGCAGCTCCCATAGTTGGTGTATCATCATGTGGCCAACTATGGAAGCTGCCAATCTTAGTCGTAGAACCATAATCGGTGTATTATCCCTTTTTTTTCAAGAACCATCAATGAAACATTGGTACTGTTGAATATTTGGAACTTGCTGCCCCATTACTGTTGGGCCTGGATCTCACCAACAACCTCCATTTGTACTAAAGTCCAGGCATGTTTCTTTTTCCGCTATTTGGAGAATTTCTTGTAGAAATTTGTCCACGTTTTCATAAATCTTTTCATTTTGGTCATTCTAAATATAACATATGATCGAATGCTGACTAGAACTATCAGAATCTTCTTTTGGTGTACGCCAAAACAAATAATCGAAATTCGCATAAAGCAATGATGATGGGAAAATTTCTAATACTGTTAGTATCTGAGATAATGATCAATACATTAAATCAGTGAAGATAAAACTATTATTTTTATCAAAATTTTGCATTAAAAATATAAAACGATATTTATTTTTTAAAAAATTTAGGTTCTAAAACAACACTTAATTTTGTATTCGTTTTATCTTTCTAATGATTAAATATCTATTTAGAAATTGTTTGCCCAAAATATATATATATATATATATATATATATATATAGAAATTAACATCAATCAAAACAACGTCTTGTTACTCTTTTTATTATACTTGTCTGCAAGAAAGTTACCACCTGTGTTTGCTCACGAGAATTTTTGCAAAATTGTGTTAGGCAATCTATCCTCGACTTTTGATGTTGGAATTTTGTTAACTTTCCTCCGTCGAACACCATCCACATCAATTCAATCATCCGGAAAGTCTAAATATATGTTACATTGAACGGCATATTATTTAATTTATTTTAAGGGCAATATGTTGTATACTATATTTAAAATTTAAAACCTAATTTTCTTAAATTATATGAATTTTCAATATTGTCTTAATGAATTTCTAGATGTAAAATGTTTTTTTATATAAAAACACAATAAGAAGTAATTGATTAATTTGGTGTATATATTTTCATATAGAAAAGAAATGGTGTGACTCATATTTTTTCAAGTTTTCTAATAAATAATGAGTAAGTCAGCAAATAAAATCTCATATAGTGTCTAAGAACGTAACCATTAAAAGTTTAAAACTAATTTAATTACAAATTAAAATAAAAATAAATGAAAGAAAATTTTTAAAAAAATTTCAAAAGAAATTATTAAATAAAATAATGAATTAGTTGAAAATAAATCTATTTGAAAGAATCTTTTTAAAAAATAATTTTATATCTAGTAGATATTTTTAGAAATTTTCTATTTTGGTTTTATTTGATTTTTCAAAATTTTATGCGAAATACAATTTTTTTTAATCTTACAACTTTAGAAGTGTTTTTGATCAAAGGTCCATTTCATTTCATTATATCCGTATCAAACAAAACAAAAAACAATTCATTATTGTTGGCAATAATTAACTTTTTGAAGTCTAGACAACAACAAGACCACGTCTTCAAAAATCAGAAATCCATTCATCCACATGATAAATGTTTTTGATAAATACTAGTATCTTTTTTATGGACCCCATAATAAATATCATTTATATGGAGCCTTTATTATCATTGGCATATCTTTTTGAGACGATTTGGTGAGAGTGAAAAATGGGCAAATAAATGAGGTCAGAGACAATCAGTTTGTCTACCTAGGAAGGGCGATATAAAACAGTAAAAATAGGGTATGCAAATCTATCTATTTACGGAAAAACCATGAAACGCGCGTATGCAAAAAAGTTGAGTGTAATAATTTGACTTTTTGGGCAAAGCATTTAATGCTTGTCAGGTGAAATGATGCTTGTGCAGCGATAGAACTAATTGGTTGACGTAACATTTTTACAATATATCTCAAATTTGAACTAATATCCAAAATGTCTCTCTAATTTAGCATGTGTATAGATGTAAACACATATATAGAACGGCATTAATAGTTGTACATAGGTACACATGTATATAAAGTGTTATTAACTTTTGTAGATTTGTATGTTACAAACATATACTGCAACCAGATTGTCGAACAGAGCATGTAAATACATATATATAGAGCATTATTAATATTTATATACATGTAAACACGTATATAGAGTATTATTAACATTTGTGAAGTAGTACATTTATATACAAAATAGATATGTATATTACATGATACATAAGGTGTTATTAACATTTTGTATACATGTAAATACATATATAGAGCATTATTAATATTTGTATAAATGTAAACACATATATAGAACGTTAATAATATATGTACACATGTACCAAGTAAACTGCACATCTTTCATCAATGGCTTCCACTGCTCTCTCTCCAGCGCTACCGTAAGAACCTCTTTTCTTCACCGTCAACAAAAACCAAGTAACCCCAGATCCCTCCCGTTGGCCAACACACAATCTCACTTCGGCCTCAAATCTTCTACCGCACACGGCGGCCGCGTCACCGTCATGGCTACCAACAAAATCAAGTTAGATACCATCACCGAAAATGGATTTTCGCCTTTGAATTAACGGCCTTGAATCATCAATAAACCAAGAATGAAAACAAAAATTTTAAAACTATAACAATAATCAAAATGTAAAAGTTAAGATAGATTCACCAACTTCTTGATATTTGATTTGCTATAGAAATCACCGGTGAAAGAATAATGGCAAGAGATGAAATGGTGAACAAATCACCAGCAAATGTTTTGATGATGAGAGATAATGAAAAGTGTAAAAAAAGTTGGAGCGTGGGGCTAATTTAGTCTGTTTACGGGGCGGAATATTTATATTGTTTGCTCAACTAAATGGATAGTGACAAAACTAATTTAGACTTAAAGTTGTATTTTACACCCAATTATCTCTTTTACCTCAATAACTAGAACAAAAGTTTTTTTTTTATGACCCAAATTGAAGAGAAAAAACTATTTTACATACAACAGCCAACAGCCAATTTGGTAATAATAATACTTTCACATGCATACATGTAGAAATGTTAAAAATGTTTCTATATTCAATATTCTAGTTTTGAAAACGAAAAATCATCATTGACAATAAATTATATTGGTTTCTTCAATCAGTACAAGATTGGATATGATCTGAAATCAGAGGCAAGTCCTTTCAAGACAATGGAAGAGCCATTTCTTCCGAGAGACGAACAGTTACTCTCTTGTAAAGCCACATGGCAAAGTGGTCAGGTCACCACCGAGCTGAAGAAAGTGAGCCGATTGGCCGCTCCAATGGCCACCGTGACCATTGCTCAGTACTTATTGCCTGTCATCTCAGTCATGGTCGCCGGCCACATCGGCGAGCTCCAGCTCGCTGGCGTCGCTCTTGCCACGTCTTTCACAAACGTCTCCGGCTTCAGCATAATGGTAATTATGCTATTAGTACTCTCTCCTCTTCATTTCAAGGACCCAATTAACTGTCTAATCTTGAAATTGCTTCATTTTTCTTGTGCAGTTTGGGTTAGTGGGTGCATTGGAAACTCTTTGTGGCCAAGCTTATGGAGCCAAACAATACGAAAAAATCGGAACCTACACATACTCTGCAATGGCTTCCAACATACCAATTTGTTTCATCATATCAATTCTCTGGATTTACATCGAAAAGCTATTAATCTCTCTCGGACAAGACCCTGACATCTCCAGAGTCGCTGGCTCCTATGCCTTGTGGCTCATACCGGCTTTGTTTGCCCACGCCATTTTCTTACCACTGACTCGGTTTCTGCTAGCACAAGGGTTGGTTCTTCCCCTGCTCTACTCTGCACTGACCACCCTTTTGTTCCACATCGCGGTGTGCTGGACTTTTGTTTTCGCGCTTGGTCTGGGAAGCAATGGAGCTGCCCTAGCTATTAGTGTGTCTTTCTGGTTTTACGCTGTGATACTCTCATGCTATGCGAGATTCTCAAGCTCTTGCAAGAAGACTCGCGGATTTGTATCAAATGATTTTATGTCATGTGTCAAGCAGTACTTTCAGTACGGAGTCCCATCCGCTGGATTGACTTGGTAAGTAAATCATTTTCAAGTTTCTTGTTGGTCAGCTTACAATACACAAATGCTTCCTCTTATCTTGCTTGGATTCATTATCTTCTTTGATAGCCTAGAATGGTGGCTGTTTGAGCTACTTAGAGCATCTCCAATGCAGGGTTCTCTTCTACATTTTGATGAGTTCTCATCTGAAATTGGCAAAAAAATAATTCAGAATTGAATGAAAAAGAGAGAATCGATTCTCTTTAGAGTGTTTTGAGATTTTGAGAGAGCCGGACACGTGTCAATGTTTGATTTGAGGGAGTATTTTAACAGAAGAAAAAAAAAACACTCATTCTTTTTAGTTTTTTCTGCGACAAAAAAAAAACACGACTCCTCTCTCTCTCTCGATTACGATCAAAGAAGCTGATGAATTTTGTGTTTTAACAAAAGAATTGAAACCAATCGTAACAAGATCAGTTTCATACTCTTCCTCGCCGACAATGATCCCACCACCGGTCAAAGCTGGTGTCCAGGTCTCTATCACTCTCTTAGGGGTTTCTCAATTTTCGTCCAATTTCGATCGATTTCGTCTTCTCGATCGATTCAATGGTTTTGATTGGTGAATCAGACTGTGTTAGAGTTGAACCTGTGATTTACAAGACTCTAGAGGAATTTCCAGAGGAGGTGAATCTTATTCTCGGTTTAAGCCCACCGGAGTGCCAACTCTTGTTCGTTGGGATGGTGACTCTGTTAAGGGACGACTTGAGGATCATCAAGCTCACCTGATTCTGCCCCTTCTTGCGCCATCCACTTGATTTGATCGATTTCTCGGTAAGTTTGTTCTCGGGATTTAGGTTAATGAATCTCTAATCTTCTTGGAACATTGATTGATATTGTTCTATGTTTCAGGGACTATGGTGGGATTGAGGATTTCTTTGTGTTGTTTTCCAATAAGTCATCATTCATCTGCTAAGAATTGCTTTCATCTCTGCTCAACAACTCTCTTAATCTAGAAACTCTCATCATCAAGGTATTATACAAAAGCAGTTATATGTATACTAAATCTGAATCTACAATGACAGTTTCTCCAACGTTTTTGCAGGGATGGGAAGGTCTGAGTTCTATGAGCCTGCTCTGCTTTTCATGGGAGAATTCTGTTTTGATTATGTGAATCCTTAATGGGTGAATTTTAGATATGGGAATAGTTATTTTGCTAAAGCTTTTTTCGTAAGAATTTTCCTATTAGTCTTTTTACAAACGAACAAATGTACGAATATGTATTTGTGGGCATGTATATGGGAGTCATGTATTTAATTTGACGTTAGGTGTTGGAGGTCGGGGACGTTTCCAACTTTCCATAACCATGATTTAATTTGAAATCAGTATCAGGACAGTGATGCTTGGCCATAAGCCCATAACCATGATTTCACATTGGTTGCTCAAGAAACACTAGCAAAGTTGGTCAAAGTGAGAAGCAAGATATGAAACTACACTCAAGCATTTGTTTTTATGTATAAACACCACAAGTCTCACTTTTTTGTATGCATGATTGTGAACCACGTCTTTCTTTTCCATATGATTGAGCTTTGCTATATATAAAAACATCCTTGTTCTTATTATTATACACACAAACATTGTTCTTATTCTTCTTCTACGGCTCAACAAAATCTCATTGTGCTTCTTCTACGGCTCACCAAAATTCCATTGTTCTTCTTTTTTTTTTCCTTGTTACTCCAAAATTTACAAGGACACCAACCAAAAATCCACATTGTTCTTCTTTTCTTTTTAATTGTTACTCCAAAATTTAGCACCAACCAAAAAAACCATTGTTATTCTTCTTCTTGTTTTTTTTTTCAACAATCTTCTTATTTTATGAATTGCAATAATTATTAATTTTTATGATATACAATTTTTTATAAATTTTTTTTTCCTAAGAACCCCACTAGAGAACCTACCATTGGACACAAAAAAATCAAAAAAAAAATCAAAGGTTCTCATCTAACATTTTCTCAAAATTTATAATAAAAAACTTGAGAGAGCTCATGGAGAGAGCTCCCCCATTGGAGATGCTCTTATACTCTGCTCAGGTCTTCTCCCAAACCCGAAACTCGAGACCTCTGTTCTTTCGATTTGGTAAGTATCATATGACTTCTTTTTACCCTATGTGTTCTCTTTACCAAAATGTATTAATCATATTTCTTTCATGTCAGTCTTACAATAGGAACTTTACACTATGTGATTCCATCTGGAGTCGCGGCGGCTGTGAGGTATACATGTTCTCAATTCTCAAACATGTTCAACAATTCCTTTTCTCAACATTAGTCATTTGGTTTCTTGCAGCACACGTGTGTCAAACAAATTGGGAGCTGGAAATCCTAAAGTTGCTAGGGTTTCCGTATTGGCAGGGCTTTGTCTCTGGATAGTAGAATCAGCTTTCTTTAGCACACTTCTCTTCACCTGCCGAAACATCGTAGGCTACGCATTCAGCAACAGCAAAGAAGTTGTTGACTATGTGGCTGACATATCTCCTTTGCTCTGTCTCTCCTTCATCCTAGACGGATTTACCGCAGTTCTAAATGGAGTTGCTAGAGGATGTGGGTGGCAACACATTGGAGCTTTGATCAACATGGTGTCTTATTATCTCGTAGGTGCCCCGGTTGGAGTTTACTTAGCTTTCAGTCGTGAGTGGCACGGAAAAGGACTGTGGTGCGGTGTTATGGTTGGATCCGCTGTACAAGCCACTATACTGGCTATTGTCACAGCTTCCATGAACTGGAAGGAACAGGTTAGAGCTTGTTACATTCTATTTTCTTGAATGCTCTGAAGTAACTGGAATCTATGATTTGCAGGCTGAGAAGGCTAGGAAGAGAATAATCTCAACTGAAAATGGATTGCCTTAAAGAAAAGGTGTTTCTGAGAGCTATCTCAAACTATTTGTAACACTGTCAAAACAAGGTGCAAAGTTTTATCAATGTCATACTTGATGTGTTACAATTTTTTTTTATAAAAACTGTATGTTCCATGTTTTATAAATATTTAAATTCTTTTTTTGCGTAGACATTTTATTTTAATTTGAACAAATATTTCAATTGCACAAGCTAAGAAACAATTTTATATATATATATATATATATATATATATATATATATATATATATATATATATATATATATATATATATTTCTTAATCCATTTAGAAAAAGAGGGATTTATTTGTGTTCTTTACTATCTAGTTCCGGTTTAGGCAAACTTTAAACTGTGCTACCAATAGTTATACATCATTTTTAGTAGAAAATTGTTTGTATCATCTTGATTGTCATTGTCAATGGATCATTATGCACAACCCCACTTTCTTCTGACGACCATTTCACTACCATACGAAACTCGAAAGATTTGTTGATTGGTTTTCCATATCATCCACACAAAAATGTGTGTGTTGTGTCATCCTGTTTTTGACCATAATAACTATTCGTTAAAAGTCCTTAAGAGTCTTCACATATGTTTCTTGACGTAAATCATCAAATAGAAGATTAAAAATTCCACATATTGCACAAATGTTATGTCATTTTAAATTAGTATAGTAATTGTTTTATAATATATATATTGGATATGACGACAACTAGCTAGTAGCCGTGGTCGAAACGAATTTGCTACCTTACTTATTTATCCACCTCTGCACGTTTGATCTGTCTAGTTTGCTATTTAAAACAATTTAAAATGTTGTGAAAATAGTTTTTTTTCTTCTTAAATATAAATTGTTAAAACAGTTATTTTCTTTTGTTTAATCTTTGATGATTAGAACTTGATTCCCAAGTAGTTTTCGAGTTGCCTTTGTTGAGTCATCGATCATCGGAACGTGATCCCCAAGTGTATTATCATGTATTTCAAAATTATGATATTGGACGACTGTTGAGTGTTGAGTGTTGACCACGACGTTCACCATTCGTATTACCATTCGTATTTCAAATTGACCGAATTGTAGTTCTTTTTGCTGGTGTTAGGTTATTGCCGGGTGAGTTCCGAAAAGAGATTCTACAAAACAATTCTTAGATACTTAAATATGTCACATGTTTTGAAATTACTAGAATAATTTTCATACCCGTAATACAAATTTTTAGGGATGAAAGAATAAAAGAATTTATAAAATGCACTTATTTATTTAATCCTCTAAGAAAAAAATTGGAGTTATTTACTCCCTCAGTTTTTTTATAAATGATTTTTTAAGCTTCTAATTTTGTTCTTAAATAGATTGATGTTTTCAATTTTCAATGCAAAATTAATTATTCTATAGATTGTTTTTATATTGGTTGATTAAATAATAAATGATGTTTTAGTTTAAAAATAAATAAAAATTAAATAATTTATTAATCTATGTGCATTCCCTTAAAACATCACTTATAAAAGAACGGAGGGAATATGAAATACTAGCCATTATTTATTCTTCACTTATACGTACGAGTACAAAAGAACCCCATTAAGATCGTGTCAGGCAACCGATTCTTAACTTCCCAAAATTGGAGTCTATTTTACGGAACTCTCCAATTGGTCAACACTCTTTGTAAACACCAAAGTCCGATAATTTCGACGTACTCCATCAAACACCTCCTGGCTCCTACACTAATTCAACTTTTCGAAGAATATAAAAATGTGTAGCAAACAACGTTGTTAAATACATTTCTATATTAATTAAAATGAACATTAATTCATACCTAGTAATAAAGTCATTTAATAATATTATTTTCATAAAATTATCTAAACATGACTATATTATCTTTGTAAGGTACAGAGATTGCCTAGTATCCATACATTTAAACGGACTAGATAAAAGCTTTATTGGTTTAACCACTACTATAAACAGACTAAAAATAAAACTGTCATACGTTCTAACTTCTGAAGTTGTTAGAAGATTTTGTCATTTGCAAAGAACATGATATGTTCACCTTAAAAAAAAAAACTATTTTTTTCCTGACACTTATTAAAGAGAAACTATACAACGTCATTGCTGAAACCTTTGATGTATAAACTTTCGTAATAGTTTATACTTCAACATGTAGACTTAATAATATACTTTTTGAGGATCTTCGTGGAAAATATAGAATTCTACTGGTCGAGCTAAGAGTCATGTAATTTGAATATTCTATTCCCACAATTTCCAAAAAGAAAAGTCTACGTTGACATTGACATTGGTTTCGTCGTCTATCTAGTGTCTATAAAAGATGGAAGAATGTTATCATAAATTATAGACAAGGCTTTCAACACAACAACAATAACAAAAACTAAGTAAAAAAAAATACTATTAACAAAACAAAACAGTAGAAAGACGACAATGGAAGAGCCATTTCTTCCGGAAGATAAGCAGCTAGTCCCCTGTAAAGCCACATGGCAAAATGGTCAGCTCAACGTCGAGCTGAAGAAAGTGAGCCGCTTGGCTGCTCCTATGGCCACCGTGACCATTGCTCAGTACTTATTGCCTGTCATCTCAGTCATGGTCGCCGGTCACAACGGCGAGCTTCAGCTGTCCGGTGTCGCTCTTGCCACCTCCTTCACAAACGTCTCCGGTTTCAGCATTATGGTAATTATGTTATGACTACTCTCTCCTCTTAAGTTCAAAATCAAGTTGACTCTCAAATCTTGATAACACTTCAATATGTTCTATGTGCTTGTGCAGTATGGGTTAGTGGGTGCACTAGAAACACTTTGTGGCCAAGCTTATGGAGCCAAACAATACGAAAAAATCGGAACCTATACATACTCTGCAATTGCCTCTAACATCCCTATTTGTGTCCTCATATCAATTCTCTGGATTTACATCGAAAAGCTTTTAATCTCTCTTGGTCAAGACCCTGACATCTCCAGAGTCGCTGGCTCATACGCCTTTTGGCTCATACCGGCTTTGTTTGCTCATGCGATTGTCATACCACTGACCCGGTTTCTGCTAGCACAAGGGTTGGTTCTTCCACTGCTCTATTCAGCCCTGACCACCCTTTTGTTCCACATGGCGGTTTGCTGGACTTTGGTTTCCGCGCTAGGTCTGGGAAGCAATGGTGCTGCCCTGGCTATTAGTGTGTCTTTCTGGTTTTACGCTGTGATTCTCTCATGTTATGTGAGATTCTCCAGCTCTTGTGAGAAGACTCGCGGATTTGTATCCGGAGATATCGTGTCTTCTGTCAAGCAGTTCTTCCATTACGGAGTCCCATCAGCCGCAATGCTTTGGTAAGTCATTTTTAAGTTCCTTGTTGGTCAAGTTACATACACTAATGCTTCTTCTTATCTAGCTTGCATTTTCTTGGTGTTCTTTTAATAGCCTAGAATGGTGGCTATTTGAGCTACTCATACTCTGTTCAGGTCTTCTCCCAAATCCGAAACTCGAGACTTCTGTTCTTTCTATTTGGTAAGTATCAATATCATATAATAGGACTTCCTTTTATCTTTGTTATTTACTTTACTTAACTAATGAATCCTATTTCTTTCATGCAAGTCTTACAACAGCAACTTTGCACTATGTGATTCCAGCTGGAGTCGCGGCGGCTGTTAGGTATGATCTCAACTTTTTAACCAAACATATTAAGCATTTTCTTCCAAAACAATATCAGTCATTTGGTTTCTTGCAGCACACGCGTGTCAAACAAATTGGGAGCTGGGAATCCTCAAGTTGCTAGGATTTCAGTATTGGCCGGGCTTTGTCTCTGGCTGGTAGAGTCAGCTTTCTTTAGCACACTTCTCTTCACGTGCAGGAACATCATAGGCTACGCATTCAGCAACAGCAAAGAAGTTGTGGACTATGTCGCTGACCTAACTCCTTTGCTCTGTCTCTCCTTTGTTCTTGACGGATTTACCGCAGTTCTTAATGGGGTTGCTAGGGGAAGTGGTTGGCAACACATTGGAGCTTTGAACAATGTGGTAGCTTATTATCTCGTAGGAGCTCCGGTTGGAGTTTACTTAGCTTTCAGTCGTGAGTTGAACGGAAAAGGACTTTGGTGTGGTGTAGTGGTTGGATCCGCTGTGCAAGCCATTATATTGGCTTTCGTCACAGCGTCCATAAATTGGAAGAAACAGGTTAGAGCTTGTTACACTTGTACATTCTATTTTTTTGAATGCTCTGAAGTAACTGGAATCTATGATTTGCAGGCTGAGAAGGCTAGGAAGAGAATAATCTCAACTGAAAGTGGACTGGCTTAAAGAAAGGGTGTTTCTGAGAGCTATCTCAAACTATTTGTAACTCTCATTGCTCAATTTTACAGCATACCTTGTTAAAATTAAACAAAGGTGCAAAATTTTGTTAATGTCATACATACTTGGTGTGTTACAAATTGTTTTATAAAAATTGTATGTTCCCTGTTTTATAAATACTTAAATTTTTCGTAAGTAGAAATTTTCTTTTAACAAATATTCCAATTGTACATGCTAAAACACGGTTATCTATTTCTTAATCCTTTGAGAAAGGGAGAGAGAGATTTATTTGTTTTCTTTAATTTTTCGTATACAAATGTAAAGTTACAAGTGAATAAAAACTCTCTTGTGGAGCGAGGCACTTCTCGACCCAAAAACAATTAGTTTTGTGTCTCGTTGACCAGAAAAGGTTCTACTGACCTATAATCTATAGATGTCAAACTGAAGTGGCACGCCTCGTATGAGTTGTCCCGCAATTGGAAATCCTATAAAAAGCTAATAGGAAATGAGAAGATACGTTTGGAGCAAGTTTTGAGGATGGATCAAAAAGGAAAAAAAAAACTAAAGAAGAGTTTTGGAAGACTTGATGAAAGTGGAGTTTGATAAGAAAAAAAAAAGTTAAAAAGAATATTTTACTTTACCTTATGAAATTCTGAAATTTACCTAGTTTGACCCAAATCTTAGGAAAAATAACTAGATTAACACCCAAATATTGTGGTCTACTAGAATAACACAATTTTTGTGTTAAAAGACCAAATACCCATTTTATTTTCAATTCTATTAAAATAAACTAATTAACATATAATAATTAAATTAAATAAAAAATTAGAAAAAAAAAACAAAACGAAAAAAAATATATAAAACGAAAAAAATACAATAAGAAAAAAAAATTTAAAAACGAAAAAAAAAATATTAAACAAAAAAAATACAAAACAAAAAAAATAGAAATTAAAAAAATTATATATATAACGAAAAAAATAGAAAACAAAATAAAAATTGAAAAAAATAAAATAAAAAATACAAAACGAAAAAAAATAGAAATTAAAAAATAAATATATATCTAAAACGAAAAAAAAACTTAATCATATATTAACGAGGAGAAAGCCACACATGAGCCATTTAATGTAAATAAATCTGTCGCGGTAAGAATATGTCTATCATTACCTTATTATGCAGATTAAAATTTTATTTTCATCGATAAAACTGTCATCATATGACAGATTTTTTTATATCCTATCTGAAATCTGTGCGTAATATAAAAAAATCTGTCATAATATAAAACATTTCGGTTGCAAGTATATGTCATTCTAGCAATTTTTATTTTTAAATAACAAATCTGCTATCACACTCCAGATTTTTGTTAGAACAAAAAAAACTGTCATAACATAAAATAAATCTGCTATCACTAATAAGTCAAACAAGTAATTATTTTTTCATTAACAAATCTGCTACATTATGCCACATATTTGAATATATCTGTCAAAATTACAAAAGTCTGTGGTGTCATCATAAAATAAGTCTGTCGTAGAGAAAAAATCTGTTACAAATTAAATATCTGTCGTAACCTATTTCAAGTAAATCTGTGGGTGACAAAAAATCTGTCGCAAAAAATCTGTCGTAGACAAATAAGTATGTCATGGAAATTAAATCTGTCACAACTTATCCAGCAGACTTTTCAAATAATTTTTTTTTCCTAATATTTTTTGCCCACGTTTTTATTATTTATTTAAGGGTAATTTTGACTTTTTTTAATTCCTAACAAAGAGAGAAAGGGTATTATGGTCACGAAAATAACCCATTTAACCCTTAAATTTTTTAAGACATTCTAGTAATTAAAGTCATTATTTGGGTTAATCTAGTAACTCTCCCAATGAAATTTGGAAACCTTCTCCTATGTTGATTAAGAAATCATGTTTGCTATATAAGGAGGAGTTAAGGACGTCTTGGAGAGGCAAGAGAGCTGAGACATAAAGAAAAATCCGAGAGAGCTTTCTGAGATTGTGTGCAACTTTTTTTTGCGATTGGTTTGTGGCGGTTGTTCCAGAGACTTGGAGTTTAGCTTAGAGTTAGGTCATTTTGATTAAATTTAGGCTCATGGGAGTTAATTAAGGGTAAAAATTATCTTTAAGAGTTCACGTTATAGGACTTACACTCGGACGTATATTTTTGTTACTTCATTTTAAAAAAATGACGCAAAACATAGCGACACAAAACTTAACGTCAAAATTTATAAAAGTAACGTTGGTTTAAAAGGTAACGCAATGAAAGCATATATACGTTTTCTCATTTATAGACAATTTTTTACAATTTTTTTTATCAAATCTAAATCAAAATTGCTATTAACTAGAGAAAACTCTTACCTAAAATTAGAAAAATAATCGATCGAAAAGATATTTATATTGTTTGAATATATAATTTTACATAAAGCATAACTCTGTCCTTAAAAACATAAAATTCTGAAAAAGAATTCACAACATGTATTTATGTATATGTCTTCAAAGTGTCGAAGTATTCAAAGTTACTTGCACGAAGTCTTTATAAGCTGACTTGCTCGAAGTCCCAAGTTTCTCTAAAAGAAAAAAGAAGCAGAAACACTTTAAGAAAAACATTATACTCAACAAGTCAACATGAAAAGATATACCATTTTAAAGTGAAAGCACAGCTATTTGAAATTACAATTAAGAAAGAGAGAAGATTCAAGTAGCAAAATGCAGATTATAGATTCATAAGTGAGCTACTGAAATGATTCCCACTACAGCTCAATGACCAATCATACTGGTGCCATATCCCAAACACACGCAAGCAACATTCAGAACTGTTATCTTACATGTATGGTAACTTGACTAATGCCTACAACAGACAGTGACATACATGATTTAAATAAACTTCGGTCAAGTTCAAATTAAATATCATCTACAATCCCCATATATGTCATCTTCATATTCCAGTTCATAACATCTCACTAGCAAGTTTTTGATCAACTATTGTACCCTACAGCGAAATGGGTACACTGGCCAGCGGCCAGCCGAGTTTAATATTTATGATTTTAATATTGATATTCTCAATTTAGTCACATCGTTAAGTCGCTAAACGTAACAAATAAACATGGTTATGTTTTGTTAATAAGTTTCGGTTAGTTAGCCAAACGACGTCGTATGAAAACATATTTAGAGTTGCATTTGGGAATTTTGGGGGAATATAATTCGATTTGGGGGCTCTGTTCTATTTTCAAACGATGTTATTTTGCTTATAAATGAAAGTTCATTGGAATTAAAACACAATATGTTTGTTCCGTTTCATGATTTAATATTGTGCCTAAACTGGCAAAATCAACAAAAAAAAATATGATTTATTGGAGAAATCAATAGAAGTTGGTTATTTATTTCAGTAGATACAAAATTGAACGAAAACGCAAGGTAAACACTTTTGACGACATTTTTCCTAAAACGAATTTGCTACCTTAGCTTACTCATTTATCCACACCACAACTGCATGTTTGCACTGTCTTGTTAATATTTAAAACGAAAAATGTTTTTGTTAAGATATTTTTTTAGGAGCTTATTGGTTACATATGTAACTTTAGATTTTTGGCTATAGAATTTAGGCTGTAAATATTTTTGTTGATCTGTAAATTTTATTTGTGACTTCTTACAATAAAATCTTGAATGGTTCGATTATAGCTGTAAATTATGTTTGTTATATAATTACCAATGTTTAAGAAAGTGCTAAGCGGACAGTGACCCAACTCCTAGCGCTTAGAACACTTAATCGGAATCTAGACGATTGTAAGCGGTTTAAGCGTTTATAACATAATTTAAAATATTATGGATAAAAATATTAAATTTTAAATAAAAACTAGATTAAAATATTTATTTAATTTATATTAAACAAGATATGAATATTATAACTATGTAAATGGAGGTAAATCTAATAAATTTAAATCTATGTATTTAGAAATTGAGAAAATATACTGAAACAAAACTTATACAATTTTAAGTGGTTAAAGAAGTTGTCTAGACATCGCATGAGCCGTAGAAAAAATAGGTAACAAAAAAAAAATGGCTGCGGAAATTTTAAAAAGACAAAACTTGATTGGACAAAATTTATGGCTGTGGACAAAAGTTGGTTGTCTCATTTCATCTCTGATGATTGGAACTTGATTCCCAAGTAATTATTCTAGTTGCCTTTGTTGTTGAGTCATAGATCATTGGAACGTGATTTCCAAGTATATTATCATGTATTTCATAATGATGATATTGGAAAACTTTGATGACTAAACTTTAGTAATACTTTTATACTTCAACATGTCGACTTAATAATATACTTTTTGAGGATATTCGGTGGAAAATATAGAATGCTTCTACTGGTTGAGCTAAGAGTCGTGTAAATTTAATATTCTATTCCCACAATTTCCAAAAAGAAAAGTCTACGTTGACATTGACATTGGTTTTTGTCGTGTGTCTATAAAAGATAGAAGAATATCATCAGAAAATTATAGGCAAGGCTTACAACACTAGGAAGACAACAATGGAAGAGCCATTTCTTCTGCAAGATGAGCAACTTGTCCCTTGTAAAGCCACATGGAAAAGTGGTCAGGTTACCGTCGAGCTGAAGAAAGTGAGCAGCTTGGCCGCTCCTATGGCCGCCGTAACCATTGCTCAGTACTTATTGCCTGTCATTTCAGTCATGGTCGCTGGCCACAATGGTGAGCTCCAGCTCTCCGGCGTCGCTCTTGCAACCTCCTTCACAAACGTTTCCGGGTTCAGTATTTTGGTAATGATGCTATAACTACTCTCTCCTCTTAAGTTCAAGATCATGTTGACTCTTGATAACACTTCAATTCTTTGTGCAGTTTGGGTTAGCGGGTGCACTAGAAACTCTTTGTGGCCAATCTTATGGAGCCAAACAATACGAAAAAATCGGAACCTACGCATACTCTGCAATGGTCTCTAACATCCCTATTTGTGTCCTCATATCAATTCTCTGGATTTACATCGAAAAGCTCTTAATCTTTCTCGGTCAAGACCCTGACATCTCCAGAGTCGCTGGCTCCTACGCCTTTTGGCTCATACCGGCTTTGTTCGCCCATGCGTTTTTCATACCACTGACTCGGTTTCTGCTAGCACAAGGGTTGGTTCTTCCACTGCTCTACTCTACCCTGACCACTCTTTTGTTCCACATCCCTGTTTGCTGGGCTTTTGTTTCCGCGTTTAGTCTGGGAAGCAATGGAGCTGCCATGGCTATTGGTGTCTCTTTCTGGTTTTATGTTGTGATTCTCTCATGTTATGTGAGGTTCTCCAGCTCCTGCGACAAGACTCGTGTATTTGTATCCAGTGATTTCGTGTCTTGTATCAGGCAGTTCTTCCATTTCGGAGTCCCATCAGCGGCAATGGTTTGGTAAGTCATTTTTTAGTTTCTTGTTGGTCAAGTTACATACAACAACCAATCCTTTTTTCTTATCTAGCTTGCGTTTTCTTGGTCTTCCTTAATAGCCTAGAATGGTGGCTATTTGAACTACTCATACTCTGTTCAGGTCTTCTCCCAAACCCAAAACTCGAGACCTCTGTTCTTTCAATTTGGTAAGTATATATAATATATCATACAAAAGAACTTCTTTTTATCTTTATTATTCTCTTTACTAAAAACTAATGAACCCTATTTCTTTTATGCAAGTCTTACAACAGCAAGTTTTCACTATGTGATCCCAGCTGGAGTCGCGACGGCTGTGAGGTACGATCTCAATTTTCAAACATAAACACCTTCAACAATTCCTTCCTCAACATTAGTCATTTGGTTTCTTGCAGCACACGCGTGTCAAACAAATTGGGAGCTGGGATTCCTCAAGTTGCTAGGATTTCAGTATTGGCAGGGCTTTGTCTCTGGCTGGTAGAATCAGTTTTCTCTACCACACTTCTCTTCACCTTCCGGAACATCATAGGCTACGCATTCAGCAACAGCAAAGAAGTTGTGGACTATGTTGCTGACCTAACTCCTTTGCTCTGTCTCTCCTTTGTTCTTGACGGATTTACCGCAGTTCTTAATGGGGTTGCTAGGGGAAGTGGTTGGCAACACATTGGAGCTTTGAACAATGTGGTAGCTTATTATCTAGTAGGAGCTCCGGTTGGAGTTTACTTAGCTTTTAATCGTGAATTGAACGGAAAAGGACTATGGTGCGGTGTTGTGGTCGGATCAAAGCTTATCTTAGTCAAGGACGATCAATGGTATTAACTGTTAAGTATGGTTTATCTCAATGAATCAAAACTGATGATAGAAAAATTTACCACCAAAAACGCCTTGAGCTGGTTCCTAGTGATCTTATACTCGGCCTTTTCATTTCGATAAGCTGCCAACAGTGCATCCATCATGTCCGTATCTTGATGCTCATCATCTGGTTTCTCTTCATGTTTCCTAAGAAACCTTTCGAGAAAATCATCGAATCTGCAGGAAACGCTGATTATTTCCATTTTGAACAGCGAGATTCCGAGCTTCTCGAGCAGCCTGCGCAATGTGGCTGCCAAGAAAAACTTCTTCGTCAAGTAAAAGGACTCGATAATCAAACCCCTGACTCTCTCTGCCTCACCCTTCTCCTCTAAACAACTTCTCCCCATGATCATCTTGCAGATGCTGTTATTACTGAGCTTCATCGCTTCCTTACCAATTTCAACGCTCTCCTTCTTCATCGCCTTATCAAGTAGGTTTCTGTAAAACCGTTCTAGTTCATTTGTCCGGATGAGGCGTGAGCGCTCGAGTGCCTGTGGTCCAAGGAGCTTTGTGACCAGGAGTTTCTTCATGAACTTGAACTAATCTCCATAGGAAGCACTAATGAAACCGGTAGATCCGAACAACAGTGACTCCTCAAACGGAGGGGGGCCGCGAGAAGAGACGTTTACATCATGCACCCTGAAGATATCGTAGGCCACTGACGCAGAGGAGACTAGCACTATGGGAGTGTTGAAGATACGAAGATGGAGGAGAGGTCCATTGTAGTGACCCTCATTCTAGGGTAAATGGCCGTGCAAGGATTGATCAAGGAAAGATCAAAAGGAACTTAAAAAGAAGAATGAAGAAGATTGGTCGAGTAAAAATGAAGTTGGGACGAGAGAAGATTGAGCCGGACGTATCCGGACGTACCCGGACGAATCCGGCTGTACCCGGACGAAGCCGACTGTAGCGCGGACGACAGTGACCGTACCGCGGGACGTACCGCAAGGTACCTATCGACGATCGGGTGATTCCGTACCGAATTTGTCGTACTAAATTAAGTCTTTGCCGAACGGAATTGAATATCATGAAGATTGGAAGAAGGTGGTACGAGGAAATATTGACTTGGGCGAGAGATGATCGAGAAGCCCTGTACCGCGAGAAAACTTATCGATCATCAAATGTTTTCGTAACGACTTTGTCGTGCAAGTTGGAGTCTAGTCCGACCAAAATGTAATTTAAGGACGTTTGGACGGAGGGTGATCGAGGAAATATTTATTTGGGTCGAGAAACCTACCGATCGGACGGAACCGATCATACCGCCGTACGTACCGTCGTACGTACCGTGACCCGCCTGACATTTTTGACCAAGCCATTGACCGTTGACCCAGCTGTTGACTGTTGACCGGCTAAACTTGGAGCCCAAGTTTGTTAGCTTGGAGTCAAATTTTTGATAGCTTGGAGCCAAAGTCGTCGTAGCCACTTGTCGCCATCGTTCGCTCCGTGTGACACGTACCCCGCCATGTGTCACCACCGGTGATCAACCCAAAACTTGCGGCCCAAGTTTACGAAACTATAAATATGGACTACTTTCTCCCATTTGTGATTTTTCACGGGAGAACGAGGATGTGGTGCTGCTGGTTTGCTGCCGAGAGCTGTGAACGAAGGCACCGTCGGAGAAAACTGTTTGATTATCGAGAGAAGTGATCGAGAAACTATGGAGAATTGATGGAGTGGTGCCGAGACGATGCTGTGATCATGAACATGTCCGAGAATGGTATCCGAGAAAGCTGTTACGATTAAGATCGGAAGATCTGATCCGTCATTAAGACTGTTTTCTCCGATTAAGCCCATGAAGTAGTCTTTCTTTCATCAAAGCTATTTATAAGGGTTATATCAGAGTTAAACGTCGAAAAAGAAGGCCGTTAGCTAAGGAGAAACTATATCAAGATGGGAGTGATGTTGTGAAGCCGTGGATGCTGAAGATCGTTGAAGCGAACCTTAAACCTTCAGCCGAATCTCTGTGAGTCTCGTAGCATGTGATATGACACAGGTTAGGTTAGGTTGGGTTGACTGATTAGTTCGTTTAGTTGATTGATTGCTAAGTCTCGGTGATGTGCTTAGGCGTATCATCGAGCAATTGCTTGATTGTGTGCTTTTAGGTGCGAGGTTAGGTTGCATGTTAGATTCTCGTTTTATCCTTAGTTGATTAACTTGAATCTCTATGCAGGGTTGTTTGATTATGGTATCGAATCATGTACTTGTGATCCTCGTGATCCGTACATAAATGATTCCGTACTTGTGTGTTTGTTGCGTGCATTAGATACATATGATTCTATGTGTTTTATTTAACCATATGTTTCATTGTGTCTAAGTTGTTGCATTCTTAGTATGCGGTATTCGTGACTTAATGTCCGGTGCCTTAAGCATATTAAGATAGGGGTATGTCTGTCCTTCCTCGGCGGCATGTCAAGTAAGCCTTGATCCTTAGCTGGTCACTTACAACAAATTGACATAAGACTCGGGACCATGGCCGAGTACTGCATGACGATGCATAGATATCTCTCGTTGTTATCCTTTATAGGTTCAACTTGAGAAATTTTAAGTGATGTTCCGGTTATATTCCTTTGTGGTTATAGCTCGGGTGTTCACGGATTTGGAGGTTGGAAGGCAGCATATCAGGGCCCATAGGAGGAGTCTAGATGATTGGTGTTGCATGCATAATTTAATTATCTTGTTACACGGACTCGTTCCGTGTAAGCATGCATCTTGTTTGATTGATTGTTTGTTGTTTGCTTCCGCGTGCATTCTCTGATATACATGTTGGGATGGGTTAAGCTAATGATTGTTGCAGGGAATCCGAGCTCACTAAGTAATCTTAGATTACTTATGACTCCATTTTGTTTTGCAGGAAACCTTAGTGGGAACCATTAGAGGGATGCTCAGGACGTAGGAAAGCCGGTATAGAGTTGTTGCTTTTGTAAAACTTAGTGAGTTTTATTGTTGTGTCGATTTGAGCATGTAAGCTCACGGCGCCAATTGTTGTTGTTGTTTTGGATACTTATTGTACGAAAATTTATATGATATAAAATGTGTATTTTCGTATAAAGTGTGTGTTTCCATTCGATATTAGTCTTGTCCGGACTAACACAACTCGCGATCACGGTAAGGGTTGAATAGCCTAAACCGCGTTCGTGAGGGACGGTTCGCGCGGATGGTCCGGCTAAGGGTCTGAATTCGTTTGGAACCTCTGTTGGATTGTCTGTGTGAGCTGTCTACGTGACGTTTCCGGGTCGCCCGTGGCTTGTCCGGCCATAGAGTGGTTCGGGGGCGTTACATCCATACTTGGAGGAGATTTTCTGAAAAGACTTGTGGACTAGAGCAGAGAGAATAAGGTGAAGATGGCCGATGATTAGCAAAGAAGGAGGGCTCGGAGGCAGATCACAGCCATAGGCGTCGCGTCTTGAGCTTGGTTTCCTGAAAAAGAGAGAGTAACAGAGGAGTGAGAAGAGACATAAGAGGAGGAAGATGAAGCCGCTTTGAAATTCAGCGGTGATCATTGCTGCCATTGTTGCTCAAATGAAGAAGAGGCAAATGACACATATAATACTCTCTTATCAAGAATCATTAATCTAATGTATGGCGATGCGTTGCTTACTATTCAAGATTTGTTTTTTGTTTTTTAACTGATGGAAATGTTTCTGGTAATATACTCAGATCTTAAGACACGTCAAATATACTAAGACATGTATAGTACAGAAGCAATAACAACATGGTTTCCAAGTAAGTGGGACATATTTTCTATCACTTTCTTCGGATTCTTAAAACATAGATCACATGATGACAAATAGAGAAGAAAAGGTCCAACAGAACAGCTGTCTAAGACAGACAAGTCTGAACTATACTGATAAGAACACAGAAATTTACAATATGAGATTATGGTTGAATAAAGAATTTGAAGGCTACCTGGCTTGGGGCTTGTGAGCTTGCAAGGCTGAGATAATTCACTAATTCAGTAGCTGCGCCACCTGAAAACGTTTTTGCAGCGACCAAGCTCGTCAGAGGAATCCAGCTTTTGCTGACACTAACTTTAGCCTGAAAACAATACAAAGCAGATACTAGAATCGAGCGGCTCTAGGGATAAAATGGAATCGGATGGGGAAACAATCAATCTAGAAAATTTGATCAACGACATATAAAACGAAAGAACAAAGGTTCATAGATTTTTTGAAAAGGGCAAAAGAACAGCAACTAGTGCAGAAGAAAACAAACTTCTTACGTGTTCCCAAGCTCAGTGTCAGGAACTAGGAATTTCGAGATTAGAATGAAAAGAAAAAGGTTGGATTCGAAGAACTGGAGTGCACTTAAGTGGATGAACCATGGTTAGGTTCATTCCTCCATAAGTCTCTTCCATGTTAATCTTATCTCCTTTGATTTTCCAGTCAAAGCACTGCACCATCACTCCTATTGCGGTTCCAACAAATACCGAAGCTAGGTTTACTCCAGGACATCCTCTCCTTCCGCCGCCGAAAGGAAGGTACTTAAGTGCTTGCTCTTTCTCGTCTTCGTGCTCTGATATTGAAGAACATAGAAACCTGTCCGGCTTAAACTCTTCAGGACTTTCCCAAGAAGTAGGATCTCTCATCACAGCATAAGCATTAATAACAAGTGTTGTCTTCTCCGGTACATTGAACCCTTTGATCTCACATCTTTTTTGGAACGTCCTTAGCAAGAGGGGCCCTGGAGGGTGCAATCTTAGACCTTCTTTGACTACTGCTTGCAAGTAAGGGAGGTTCCGTAGATCCGTTTCTTGAATCAACCTTGTTTTCCCTACAATAGAATCGATTTCTTCTCTCAGTCTCTCAAGAACGTTAGGGTTGTTAATGATCTCAGCCATTGTCCATTGTGTTGTTTGAACCGAGGTATCAGTGCCTCCAACGAAAAGATCCTGCAGTGAGAAGACACGGGACAGTTATAAGTAATTTTCATTTAGATACTCAGATGAAATCAACACAATGCGGAAAATTTACCACGAAAAACGACTTGATATGATTCCTATTGATCGTAT